TTCCTCATATCATCTCAGGGAGTTTTTCCTTGCCACCGTCGCCACCGTCGCCACCGGCTTGCTCATTAGGGATAAATTCACAGTGATAAATTCAAATATTTATAATATATTTTTTGTTAATCCATTTATTTCTGTAAAGCTGCTTTGTGACAATGTCCATTGTTAAAAGCGCTATACAAATAAAACTGAATTTGAATTTGAATTTGAATTTAAACGCCACACAGATCAAGGAACACAAGCAAGGAGACACAACCCTGAGCAGGGTCCAGTGTTTGGTCATTTACCACTTTAACCAACGTCACTTTACCCAGCACTGTCTCAGTACTGTGATGAGGCCTAAATCCTGACTGAAAGATTTCATGAAAGTAGTTCCCATGTAAGTATGAGCCTAACTGCTAACATTTTCTTGGACCTTAGTGATAAAGGGGAGGTTTGATATTGGCTGTTGATATTTGATATCAAAGTAGGATTTTTTACTCAGTGGTAGAACTGTTTGTTTAAAAGATTTAGGTACATGGCCAATGGCCAATATTTATGACTTTATTTTTCTCCACTTGGTTATTCCGACTTTATCTTTAATTTGTCACCAGTGTTTGTATATTAGTGGATGACACCTAATTCCATGTGAGTAAATGATATATGCTGCTGGTGATGTCACAGTACATGACTTTGTCTATTCAAAAATAATTTGCTGCATTTGAAATTGAGTTTCTAACTTATTTCATTTTCATTTTTTCTTATCCAGAAAGGAATAATGTTCTGTTACAAGTCGTCTCCTGCTTCTTGTGTCCAGTTTCATACACCTCTTGACCTGACCTCCACAAACACATCAAGAGATGGCACTGCTTCAGAAAGGCTTCAGATATCTGGAGAAATTAAATCTGAGAACCTGTCTCCAGTAAGTTGCAGAAGTCTTAATAATAATTAGTCACTTATATTTTTTTTCTTCTTGACATCTTGATCCAAAATCAAGGTCATCTGTTCCTGCTCAGCATTTTATATTTTATACTTGTCACACAGCATGGTGTTACAGGGTAGTAATCCCATTTCTGCCTTCTCGCGAAGGAATTCTGATCAATCCCACCTACTGCCACAGAGAGTTTGACAAATATAATATATAAAAATAATTTAGGGGGCATGGTGGCTTAGTGGCTAGCCCGTTTGCCTCGCACCTACAGGGTCGGGGGTTCAAATCCTGCCTCTGCCCTGTGTGTGTGTGTGTGTGTGTGTGTGTGTGTGTGTGTGTGTGTGTGTGTGTGTGTGTGTGTGTGTGTGTGGAGTTGGCATGTTCTCGCCGCACTTCAGGGGTTTCCTCCGGGTACTCTGGTTTCCTCCCCCAGTCCAAACACATACGTTGTAGGTTGATTGGCATTTCCAAATTGTCCATAGTGTGTTATTGTTCCCTTGTGCCCCAAGTTCCCTGGGATAGGCTCCAGGCTTCCCTGCAACCCTGTGTATGGTAAGCGGTACAGAGAATGGATGGATGGATATATAATGTAAGTGATTCCCATGAAAGTATGAACT